AAAGTGCATGGTTTAAAAGATTAACAAAATATATTATAGCCATTAATGATATGTTGAAATTAGATTAAGTTTAAACATGTTTTATATAAAAATCACATTAATAAATATATGAAATTAAATGAAGAAATTCATCAATAAGTTCAAAAAACAAAATAAGTGAAGATTTGACTATTAAAGATTCATTTTAGAGCCTGCTATTAAATATTTATATCTTGCTCAATAATTAAATTAAAATAAACTCACACAATTCACATTAAATGCACAAATAAAATTGATATATATGTAATCGATTCAAGTTTCAACAGGTTTGAAACTGACAAAACTGATTTTAAAATTAAACCGGTCAACCACTTGGGCATACCAAATAAATCGGTCGACCATTGTTTATCCATGATGAACATCTAAAATTTTTACAGGAATCGATTAATCAAATGATATGGTTGTTTGAACTGATTGACCACTTTAGTCATTAAAAGTCTTCTAACAGCTATAAACAACTAGTTTTTTTTGGAAACATGTATATAGCTCTTTTTTATAAATTATTCCAAAAATAAACCAACTAGAAATCATCAATCTTAACATATTTAAAGTTATATTAAATTAAATCTTTATATTTTAACACAAGAGTATAAGATCTTATATTGGTTACATTCACACACCGTTATCGCACTATACATTACAATGACCTTTTAAAAAATAGTTTTAAAGAAAAAAATAAATTTACCTTTTAAAAAATAGTTTTAAAGAAAAAATTAAATTTCTAGTATATTGTTTTGATATGAGAAAAATCTTGTTTAAAAAACCATCACCTAATATTATGGTCATTAAAAACCTTAACTGATTAACATAAATTATATGGTAGGGGACTGATTATGAAAAATAGAAGATATTATCATCCCTTAAACATCTTACTTAAGGTAGGCTGCATTGTTAGTATTGTTTTTTACTAGGGGTTCGTTGTATTATATTACCAATAGCCTATTTGTAATATTTCTAACTCTAATACTAGTAAATATTCAGTTACGAATACTTCCAACTCTGGTATTGGTAAATATTACATTAGTAAATATTCAGTTACGAATACTTCCAATTTTGACATTGGTAAATATTACATAAAAAAATAATATTTTTAAATCAAACCAACAAAATTAAAATTGAAAGCATATAATATATATTTTTTGTTATTTTTTTATTAAAAAACAAGTATATATTATATATTAAATTTATATTTCTCAATAAAAACCCACAAATCAAATATATTATGAAATCATGGTCGTGAAGGTGGGGAAGCACGAGAGATCCACAGATAAATTTAAAAAGGTCAAGATATCAAAATAAAAGGATAAATAGTGTATTTTACTAAAAACACCCATGGCCTAAAATAAATTGGAGCCGGTTGGGTCGGGGGTTAAGCCAAGCCCAACCTATTTTTTATTTTTTTGATGAGGGGATGGGTTTAACCCAACTGTACGGGCTGGACTAGATCCACCCAGCCTCAACCAGTCACCCAGCTAAGCAAAGTAGCTTGCATGCGTGAATGCGTGTTGCACAGTGCGAAGGCAACTAATTACTTTCGCACAGTGTAATGCAGATATATAAGAAAGCGGGTAAGAAATGAAAAACTTACCTTGGTTTGGAGGCGAAAGGGATGAAGACAATGGCAATGGTGCGATGACTGTCCAATGTTCCCTGCTTCTATTTTTCGTTCACTTCTCATTTGTTCTCTCTTTTGGTCTTCTTCTTTTCTTTTTTTTGCTTTGTCTGTTTCTCTCTGCTCTTCCTTCTTTGTCTTTTTCTTTTTGTTATGCTTTTTGTTTTCTCGTACTCGATTTTTTGTGCCCCTCCCCTGAGTTTTCTTTGTTAGTTCCTCTGGTTTTCTCTCTTTCCGGTATCGTTCGTTCTTTGGTTCTCTCTCTGTTTGCTCATCTTCTGTCTCCCCTATTTTTCCCTTTCTTTTCTCCTTCGTGTCCTCGTGTTTCTTTATTTCCCCTCTGGTACTCTTCTATTCGTTCGTTTGTTCTCTCCTCCCCCCTTCGTCCTCCTATTGTGTTCGTATTTATAGTCAAGAGAACATCATTGCACCTTTCAAAGTGGTGATCATGCAGTTGCTGGGATAGCATGCTTTATTAGACTATTAATGGCACATCGTGGGGGAAAGACGTTACCACGTTCTCTATCGTTTCTGCTGAGTCGGGATGAAGGAGATGAACAGTTTTCTTTGAAACGATGCCGTTTTGGGATGGATATAGCCATTTTCACTTTGGTCAGTGAAGTAATGAAATATTGTAATTAAGACCCTGGATAAATTTCAATTAGAACCCTTAATTTTATCATCATGCATAAAATGGTCCTGATCTTTAATTTCTTGCAATTTTAACCCAAATCAACCCCATACTTTGGTATTGCTTCAATTAAGCTCTTGATTTTATTAATTAAACTAATTTCAAGTTTAATTAAGTCCCTAAACTTATTATTTTTTCAATTAAATTCTTGATTTAATTAATTAAACTATTGAAAGTTTAATTATGTCTCCAAACTTTTAAATAGAAAACTACTCGTTCAGATTTACTAATTAAACTTTAATGTTAATAATTATTAAACTATTTAAGAGTTAATGTACAAAAACCAACACTAATTTAAACGAGTCTTACCAAGGACTATAATATAACCAAGAGGAAAGAAGCAAATTGCAGATAGTGCAGGAACTTTATAATGATCTTTTCCAAATTGCATCTATTAATAATAATGGGCGACAAGCATTCTTGCATCCAGTAATTTGCAGATAAAAAGAGATAAAGGGTCGTAATAACCTATTACCTTCTAATGATTTCTCAATAATATAAATTTTATATTGAAATTGAAATTTAATAATTTAAATTTGAAATTAAAATAATTATTTCATATATAATATTAAAGTCTTAATAATAAAGTGAATATGAGTTTGAATTACATCATTTTTATTTATTTAATAAAAAATAAGCATTAGATAATATGAGTTTATATAAATTTTAAATCTTAAAAACTTTTCCTTAAAAATATGTTATAGATAAATCATATATTAGGCTTCACCTCACAATTTAATTTTTTTTTTAATTGAGATAGTTTTTTGATATATAAATTCAGATTTGTATTAAGTGGTCTAGATTTGGTTTAAACAGTCCATCTAAAAAAAATATTATTTTTTTATGATATATTTAATTTTTTGATATTCTAAAATATTATTTTTCAAATAAAATTAAAGATTAAAATGTTTTCTTAAGAACCATACGATAATATCATACATTCAACTAAATTACATGTTTTTTATGTTAATAATATTAGTAATTATTTTCAATAATTAATGATATATGAAGCTGATGTATATAATTTTTTTTTTTAAAAAAAAGGAATAGTCTCTTGAATATTCATTAGTCTTTATCAAAAAAAAATGAAAATTAGTATTCCTATTAAAAAAAGGGGGGGTAACTTTGGCATTTGATGAGTAATTTTTCAAATTTAAAAACCGTGTGCTTAAATTTGTCGTCCGGTCTTAATTAGAGATAGGATAAATTACATTAGCGGGGCGTTGATTATGCGAGTGTGCGCGCGCGCGCAGCCCCGTGTGTGTGTGTGTGGTGCAGCCGTGTGTGTGTGTGCAGCCGGCTCAATTGTATACTTTACTCTATTAATACTTTACTCATATATATATATATATTAATTAATTAAGCCACATTTAATTAAGTCCTTATCGTTGCCCGACTGGATACTATTGTCGCGGTACCAGATGGTCCAGATTCCAGTTTTGATGCATTGTGCATCTCCCGCCTCCTCCAAGACCTTTAGTATTTAAATCTCCAAGACCTTGTTGATGCCTTTATTTATTCTTATTCGAGACAATTCTCAATATTCTACACCTTTAGTATTTAAATCAAAGAATATTTAATTTGTTTTTTAAGGTTTGATAAAAACGGATATTTATTTAAATGAAGCCAATACATTAATTAACCTGAATACATTAATTAAATCCTGAATTAACTATTTAATATCGTGATTGTCTAAAAATTAAATTGATTAAAGGGGTGCTCAATAAAACTATATATGAATATAATTTTATTTAATCTATATAAATCCTTTGTTTTAGCCTTTAATGCAATAAGACTTTACATATATAGAACAAACAATAAATTTACGAACTACAAAGAATACATTAGGCATGCATATAAAGAAATATAAAACATCAAACTAGCATGTGAATACAAAGATATTAAAAAAATTTAAAAAAATATATGAATAAATTAACTAAATCACTCTTTTTTAATTTGTTGAAGTAAATATAAAATAATTACAATAGAAGGAGGTGATTATTGCAAGAGTTGCAAGACAAATGTTGCCCATCAATTGATGTATACAATAGACGTGAATTGTCTCATAGGATACAGGATTCAACAATGTACTACTAAGTGTTAATGCACTTCAATAAAAAACTTAAACGAAATTCAGAAGACGGGAGTAGAGGAAAATAATTTAGAAATATTTTTTATATATTTTTTTCAATAAACTAATAAAAAGGCCATTGAAAGAGAAGAGGAGTTCTTATTTTTCACAAGTAAAATAAAAGCTATATATATGCATGTATGAATGTATGTCTTGGAAGAGAAAAGATATATATATAGCTGACCCGAGATGTCTTTGACTGTAAAAAAAAAACACAAAGCAAGTATATCTTGATGCAAGAAAAATGACCCAAGATGTCTTTGATGACATTTTTGGTTTAACATGAATTTCATGTCAGTGAAGAGAAGTCTACACCGAAACCATTATTTAGTCATTATTTAAAGAACCATCCCTGCCGTAATTTAATAAATTGAAGGTTTATTTCAGTTTCTCCTTGCAAGAGACAACAATTGCCGGCTTATAATTTGACTTCAAGCTTGTCCTTGTTTTGCCCCATTCACTATAAGACTGCCGGCTAATAACACCAAGGATAGAGATCCAAGAGGAAGGTTGCAGCAATATCAGCTATGGAGGATCCGAAGAGAATGGAAGAAGGGTTAGGTCACACTGCACTCGTTGCTAATATCGATGGTGAGAAAATCCATTTAAGTGAGAAAGTAGGTAAAACTGATGGTGGAGATGAAAATGAAAAGGAAGAAAGGAGAGCGGTTCATGATCATCTGGCTGAGCATGAAGCAGACAGGCAGCCGGTGGTTAAGCAGAAGAGCAAGAGGGTTGCGACTTTGGATGCATTTAGAGGCCTTACCATTGTAGTAAGTGCTCTTAATTCTCAATTTATTTATTTCTTTTTTATTACAAAGGAAAGGTTCGAGCCCAGAAACTTAAAAAAAACAGAAAAAAAAGGAGTACTATTAAATAAAGATATGCATGAAAGTTTATGAGTTCGGGTATGTGTATATATGAAATGAGGGTAATTTTTAGCCTTACACATGGAGGTGTTGCTGTTTGCTTGTAGCTGATGATACTGGTCGATGATGCCGGAGGAGTATATCCCCGCATCGATCATTCACCATGGAATGGGTGCACCTTGGCTGATTTTGTGATGCCTTTTTTCCTTTTCATCGTCGGAGTTGCAATTGCACTTGCTTTCAAGGTACAAACTCCTCTTCATTTCTTCTTCTATATATATATATATATATATATATCCATGCATATTCCGACTTTATTGGTATATGGCTAGAATATAACTATTGAAAGGATGCTCGAATCTATAATGAATATTGAAAGTGGTTGAGTGAGTTTGAGAATTTGACATATGGCTAGAATATAACTAAGATTGATAGGCTTGAAAACTTGGCATATGGCACTATACTTTCCCTGGGGTTTCTTAAGGAGTATTTGAAAGTATAGTAATAATAGATTTTTAAAATGTTGTTGGTTAGGAATTATATTAAAATAATATTTTTTATTTTTTAAAAATGTATTTTTTATACTATTAAAAAACATAAAAATAATATAGAAGAGTTACTGCTTATTATATAGAACATCTTCCCTACAACACTTTTTTATAGTAAATTTTAAAATAAAACGATGCATAATTAATTATGATAATTATTAAAATTAATTCTCATTGTATAAATATTTAATTACCCATTATAAAGGATATCCTCTCAATATTTTTAAAAGAGCTTCATGATCTTATTTGATAATAAAGTAAATTAAATAAGAACAAAATAACTTCACGAAAACAAAAAAAAAACTGAAACTCGATTTCTAATAAATAAAATATTGAAGAATAAAATTAAAAAAAATTCTAAAAAGAATAAAAAAATAATTTGAGTCAACTCAAGTTGACTCGTTAAATCCGCAGCTTGTCTATGATACTAGGCTAATCTCATAGAAACAAATTAAATGAAATATCAAATCAACATAATGTTGCAGAGAGAAATTTAAAATAAGTTTAAATTAAAAAAAAAAGACTCGAGTCAACCAAGTTTAATATATCAAACCTGTGACCTGGCATATGAGATTAGAATAATTTCATAGAAATAAAAATATAACAAATAATAAAGCTCAATCTTCAATAAACTTGAAATTAAAAGATGTAATTGTAAAAAAATTCAATTGTAAAGAAGTATCTAAAAAAAGTTAAGTTAACTCAGACTAACCTCCTAAACCCTTTATCTAGATCTTGAGTTTGAGATTATTCCATAAAAGGTAAACTTGAAAAAGTAATGAAACTAAATAAGTTATCATTAAATGAGCATCTCATGTTTATATTTAATTAATTAATTTAATTCAATTCAAAAATAAAATCTAAAAAAACTAAATTTAACAAGGAATGAGAAATAAAATTAGCAAAAAAAAAAATCCTATATAAAGCAAATTAAATGAGTGTTGAAGGATGAAACTTGAAAATAAAAAGCTTAAAAAAAGGAGAAAAAACCAAGTAAACCCAACTAAATCTCCTACATGTAGACTAATTTTCTAAACTCGTAACCCGTGAATTCTTAAACTTGAGTTTAATTAAAAAAACATAATTCTCAATCGATTTAGTATTGAAGGATGATATTAGAAAAAAACCAATTAAAATTTTTTTTGAAAGTAAAAAAATAGCAATAAAAAAAGAGGATCAAATATAATAGGAAAAAAACTGAAGAAAGATAAAATCATAAAATTTTTTTTTTTAAAAATCATCTCAAATAAAACAAAAAACTGAAGAAGGATAAAATCATAAAAATATCATTTTAAAAATCATTTCAAATAAAACAAATATCAATCAAAAGAATAGAAACCAAACATTATAGATGTAAAGATTAAGGAGGTGAAATTGAAAAAAAAATCTAATTTTATAAATTATTCCAATATAATAAATAATAATTAAAAGAATAGAGACCAAATCTAAAAGAGAAAAATAAAGGGCTGCTCTGAGAAATTAGAGGGTCGAAAGAAAAAAATCAATATGAAGAGAGAAGAATGAAAAACAAAATTGTTAGTGTCAAACCAGAGGTTAATAATTTAAATGCACCGCTTAGGGTTGGAAGGTTCATAAGGAGAATTCCAAAAACATCAATAACTATCTTTTTTTCATTGTAATCCACTACACTTGTTGCTTGAATAGGCAAACAAGTTGGTGCACCAGCTAGATATGGTTTTTTAATGATATTTTATATTTATTAAAATATTAAATTTCTCTTTATTGAATTTAATTATAATTAAAAAATAAAAATACAAATACAAAAGAGCCCTTGGACGCCTTTTAAATAAAAATATGCTTTTAGGAAATATTAGTCATTTTATTATATTTTTAAAATATAAAAAGTTCTACTTTATCTTTGATCAATATGATAATGAATAATGTATTTTTTAGAAAGTTTACATTACTTTCAATAGCTAGTTGATATATATATATGTTTTGGATTGGTAAAAATGCTAATTACATTGTTCCATTGCCTATAATATAAATAGTGTGTCTCTTTTATTATAAATCCCTTTATTATTCACTCTCACATAACTATGATTATAATTGTGTTTTTAAAATTTTTATTTTGATCCTTAAACTTTAACTCTACATAATTGAGCTCTTTTGAGCATCCAATTGCTTCTTCTTTTTTTGAAGGAAGGTTAAATTGAAAGGTTAAGGACTAAAATGAAAAACTTGAGTAACATAGTTGATTTTTTAAAATTTATTGGAAAAGTACATTTTAACCCCTTATCTTTTTCATCTATTAGTTGGCTGGTCCTTTTAATTTTAGAAAACTTAATTTTGCTATCAAACTTTATGTTTATAATTTTTCAGTCTTTTTTTTGTATGAGGAGAGAAAGGCTTGTCGAATTTTAGCCTAGAAAAAAAAAGGTTCTTGTTGCGATGATTTTAGCCACCAAAATAGTTATTTTTTCTACCAAATGATTCCATATAATAAAAGTAGTTCAAATTATATGTCTTTAGACCTTGAAAATGCATGAAAAAAGATATATGGGCTCAAGAATATTTTTTTTTGTTGATTTCGGGTTTTGATGCGGTTTGTTTTATTTTTGGAGGTTATAGATTTATTTAGCAAGATTCCTATAATATTTTCTAGGTATTTTAAGTAAAAAAACAAGTTAGAAATGGGAATCTAGAAGAAAAACCTAGCAACCTTATTTTGCAGCCATCACAGTAGCTAGAATTTAAAGGATTTCAGATAACGAATCATTTATTATTTTTTCATTAATATTAGAAAAAAATAAAGCCCATAAGCAAGCATTTTCTTTATGGGTCAAGTGTTAAGCCTATTTTACTAGGCCAACAACACCTAGCTTCATTCGTTTTATTTTTTATTTTTTAATTAGTGCTTTTTTATGGGTTTTTTAAATTTGTTTTGTTTATTTTTTTTACTTATTTAGCCTTTTTGAAATAGTAATTATTTTTAATTATATTGAGTATGTTTGATATTTTTAATAAGATTAGTATGATTTATCTATAATCTTTTTATATTTTACATAGATTAAATTTATTTTTAAAATTAAAAAAAATTATTTTTTTACAATATATTTAATATATGTAGTCTTGCATAGAAAAAAATTATTTTATTTTATTCAATAAATTATTTATATATATATATATATGTTGATTTCTATTAAAGATTGATTTTTAGAAATAAATTTATTAAATATAACTGAATAACCGAGTAAATGATCTGTATTGTGATATTAAATATGTTGGTCTATTTTTATTTCTTAATTTTTTTATTTTTTTATTATTAGCTAATTTTTTATTTATATATATATAAATTATTATTAATTCATTTGATTAGATACTTTTAAATTTATAGTTTGAAAAGCTTGTATAGCTAGGATTTATAAAAAAAAACAACAAATTTACAACCCCTGACATCACGAGTAAAATAGCTATAGCCAAGGTGCGTGCGTGTGTGTGTATATTTCTAGCGAATAGTAAATCCTCTCAAACAGTATTTTTATCTCCCCAATTAGCTTTTGTTAATGATCACAACTTCACCAAAAAAAATTAAACATGACAACCACTTCAGATTCCAGTTCTGATAGTTTGCTTCGTAAATAACATTTCAATCGATTAGAAAAATATTATGCTGCTATATTTTGCTTAGAGACGCTATGACAATGTAAGCATCTTGTCTAATATTCGTATAAATTCTTTATCTTAATATTTCAGAGAATTCCGAAGAGGAGAGATGCAGTTAAGAAGATAATCCTAAGGACACTGAAGCTTCTGTTTTGGGGAGTTCTGTTGCAAGGTATGGTACTCACGTTGTTTTCTAACAAAATAAGATTTTGAGTTCAACTGGTTTTTTGATATTATATCTAACATCTAACAGATTAAGTTTATGAATTGATATAATTCTTTAACACAAGCACAGGAGGATATTCGCATGCTCCTAGTGATCTAGCTTATGGAGTCGACATGAAACTTATTCGCTGGTTTGGCATTCTTCAGGTTATGTTTTCCCTATTTAACTTCGTTACTATAAGATTTAGCATATAAATACATAATCTCTATTTCCTTTGTCTGTGAGCAGAGGATAGCGTTGGTGTACATGGTTGTAGCTCTAATAGAGGCTCTAATCCCCAAGAATAGACAAACCATAGAGCCTGACCGTTTTACCATTTTCACAGCATACCGATGGCAATGGTAAGAGAACAACTACACATAGGTTATGGCAGAGAACAACATCATTTGCTATTTTTCCGTTTCAGTTCAGCCAACTTTTGACTGCATTGAGTGAAATTATGTGGTAGATAACTATATATTGTATGTTGATGGTGAACCTTGTGCAATTTAGGATTGCGGGATTCATTTCCTTTGTCATTTATATGGTCACAACCTTTGCACTTTATGTTCCGGACTGGAGTTTCACCGTCGACGAAGACCATGAACGACGCAGATACACGGTATGAAGTTATTAACTACTAAACAGATCAATGGAACAAGATGTGCACTGGCTTTTGTTAACGGAAATCAGTCTCTGGTCCCGACTAGTTTTGACTTGATTACAGGTTGAATGTGGAATGAGAGGGCATTTAGGACCTGCATGCAATGCTGTTGGTTATGTGGATCGAGAAGTCTGGGGCATTAATCATCTCTATCAGTACCCAGTTTGGAGCCGCTTGAAGGTTAGTTATGACTGGAGCAGAGTTTAGCTTCAGTAAGAGGTTTCGTCTCTGTTTTCCTGCTTCCAGCTTGTGGTATCGTAGATGTGTACTCTAAAAGTCCATCTTCTTTATAATATTTTCAGGCTTGCACTCTCAGCTCTCCAGCTTCTGGCCCATTTCGGAAGGATGCTCCTAGTTGGTGCCGTGCACCATTTGAACCCGAAGGCTTGTTGAGGTTAGATCATTAAGACCATAATCAACTTCATGTTATTTCAGATAGGGAAACAATTAGCGTAGAACTGAATATTGGTTTCTTTCTCTTAGTTCTATCTCTGCTATCCTTTCTGGCACCATTGGCATCCATTACGGGCATGTTCTGATTCATTTCAAGGTAAGAAGTTCTACTTTTGATAAGGTAATTATCAAGCCCATACCTGAAAAAGCAATCTCAATAAATGCAGGGTCATGCTGAAAGGCTCAGGCAATGGGTCTCAATGGGGGTTATCTTACTGATTGTAGCCATCATTCTTCATTTCACTGACGGTGAGATCAATTACCTTGCGATTGTATCCCAAACTCTGAGAAACTATCTGTGTGGGATTTAAAAATGTTGATATAAAGATCAAAACAGAACTTGGAAAGTTAATTCCTTCATTTCTGTGCAGCTATTCCTATCAACAAACAGCTCTACAGCTTCAGCTACGTCTGTTTCACAGCTGGTGCTGCAGGAATTGTATTCTCTGGATTCTATGTACTGGTAAAACACTACCGACCATATACAGTTTTGGGATTTCAATTCTGTGATTCCAGAAAGACTGGCCCATCACTTTGTTTGCATTGCATGAACAGATTGATGTTTGGGGATTGAGGCCGCCATTTTTATTCCTAGAATGGATAGGAATGAATGCAATGCTTGTATATGTGATGGCAGCACAGGGTATCTTTGAAGGGTTTATTAATGGATGGTATTACAAGTCTCCAGACAACACACTTGTAAGTAATTCTATCTCTGTATATGGTTTGCTTTAGCACTCAAACAATCACTTGCACGATTTTAACTTGTTGAAATACCACCTGCCTTAATGGAAGAAAAAATCTCTTACAGGTCTATTGGATCCAAGAACATGTTTTCAACGATGTATGGCACTCAGAGAGGGTAGGCACCCTGTTGTATGTGCTCTTTGCACAAATCACATTCTGGGCAGTTGTTTCAGGCGTCTTGCACAAATTGGGCATATACTGGAAGCTCTGAGAAGCCGAATTTACTTCTGGAAATAGGAAGTTCGATACACTTGTAAGATTCACACGTGTAATTCAAATCTTCTAAGTTTGTTTGTTTATGTTTTTTTTTTCCATTACTATTGTGCCAAAGTGGGTTTGTTTTACTGAAAATTGTAGCAATTTCAATCTCCAACGTTTCTACTTGTGGACTTCATGTATAGGTAGGTACTCAATAATTTAATTTTCGACGCTACCATGCGGCAGGATAAAAAAAAAAGTTACATGTGAAAAAATAATGTTTATATTCTTTTATAGTATTATCAAACTCAATTCATTGTATCAAAACTGAAGCCTTTTTATTATACTTTTTATTTAATTCAAGTTTAAATTAAATTATATAAAAATTATTATAATATAATCAAATTAACTAGATTGATTAAAAAAACTTGAATAATTAGCAAAAATATGATTTGATTTTAAAATCTATTTTAAGATAACATCTTTTAAAAAAAAAAATGCAACAAAAATAGATTAAATAGACTCAAATTAACATTTATTAACTCGTGAAACTCGATCTGGGTGATGAATTTTATTCAGTTTAATAACTTTACTTTTTAAAACTATATTTATTTAATTATATAATTAAAAAATTAGACAATAATAATAGATTAGATCAACTTAAATCAACATAAATTAACTCGTCAAACTCATGATTTGAATGATTTAAATAATGAATTTCATTTAGTTTAATAACTTTGTTTTTTTTACTATATTTATTTAATTATATTTTTTTACTATATTTATTTAATTATATAATATAAAAAATTAGATGCTTGCAACACTGACCACCAACTCAAAACTGAGATTTTTTTGGATTATAATAACTCTATAAAAAAATAAATTATAAAACCTAATTCTTAATAATTTTTTTTTGAATTATTTTTATTTAATAATATAGATAAAAAATAAATACACAAAAAACCAGGCATCAACCTAATACCAGTATGATTTTCTAAGATCGTGATAATTTTATTGAACTTTTTATTTAACAATAAAATAGATCATTTTTATTTTTAATAATATGATAGAAAAAAATAAATAATTCTAAAATTTGATCATCAATCCAATAACAAATGCTTTTTTAGACCACAATGAGCTTCAATTAATTCTTGTTAAATAATAACCACCAAAATTGGTATTCTAAATTTTAGAAATCGCTACTTTATTTTTCTAAAAAAAAACAAAATAAGATTTCTCTAATCATGGGAGTGCTAAACGGGACACAAGAAACGATAACGCTTCAATGTCTCACACGGCCACTCCTTGAGCAGTCATCAGAGACACTAATGGTGCTACGCAGCCTGCCCAACCCAAATGGTGCAGGATCACTTTCAATTGGTTTGAAACTGCAACACTGTGAGCTGCGGTCATATCTTGCCATGCATTGCAATGGTCAAACAGAACATGCAAGTTGCTTCTGCCAGTTAGGTTCCCTGTTCCGGACTTGCTAGTTCACCATTCCACTAAAGGCAGATCATCCTGCACATTTAAGATGGTGACAGGCGATTCACAACTCCAAACTGCTTGGGACATGACGGATTCCCTACAACGTCCGTGTTCCTCTATTTCGTTTCCTTCCACACTTCTTCCCGATTGTGCTCAGTTAAATCCTCTTCAAAGTTCCAAGTTCTTCAAAGCTTAGAGCTTCTATAAAGGTCATCGAATTTTCCCATCAATCAAAACAGTCTACTTAATAGATCCTCTGGCAGTTGCTATTTATCTAATTTCTGAAATCAAGTTGATCGTAAGAGGTTAAACCCACGCATGCAATTTCCTCTTATAACACAAAAGGTGGCTGTTCTGGTAGCGAGAACTTCAATACAACACATGGGGAGGTGATTTCTGTTTCCTCCTAACCCCGTCATATGATTGTTAAAAAAAAAACTATATACAAATCTAATGCCCGAGAAATGATGATCATGTAGCACGTTGATAAATCATTCAACCTGAATACTTTCTGAAAGTTTTGTTGTATATATATTCTGTGTAGAGCTATGGCAAAATTCACCATCCAAACCCTTAAGAAGGAATATAATTATCTAAACTGAGTCAACACAAGAATTCACCTGGATCAATATAAGATAAGTCTATAAAAAACTGCAGTTGTCAATGCAACAAAAAATAGTTTACAGTCACACAAAATGCCAAGTTGATGTTCATTCCAAATTCAAACTTTTGACGCTGCAGTAGCTTGAGGAAATCTCAGTTACAAATATTATTGAGAGAGAGAGAGAGAGAGAGAGAGTAGCACAAGAATATATCTAACAGAGACCTTAGGTTGCATTAAGAAAAACCTCAAGAGCTGATGTTCACGCACATAAAAGCAGTCTCAAATTCAGTCCTGCTTTCCATCTCCTACTGCCACAGGTTTCGCAACAGGTTCACCTTCCGCTTCCACCTGCTACAACATGTAAAACCCAAGTTTAATTTTTACTGTTGAAAGCAGAATACCCACCAAAACAAGCAAGAAAAACCACACCCTAACCAGCCACACCCACACCTAGCCATCCAACCACAATCATTTTTCCAGGTCAAGCGCAAGGATAGCAATAAAGTCAAAAGTAATCATCTATTGCAAAATAACAAGCAACAATAGGACTAATCTTGCGAATTAGCATGGAAAAAGAACACCAAAAATTTGGTATCATAATTTCTTACACAATTCTCAAATTACATATAATAATAGGTGAATTTAGAAAAGACGTGGACTGACTTTGGTAGTAGTGTTAATACTGGAAGCAGGGGGCTTATAAGGACAAGCTGGAGGAGCTCTCTCTGGTTTCCTGTATTCCCATCCAAACAGCGCATATATTTTTCCCTGAGATAAAAAAGAAAATTTTAAAAATATTTATAAAAATTAAATGGAGAGTGAATAACAGAATTCTGCTTGTTGTTACCTTGAGAAAATAGAAGATCAAGGGTAACAGATTGACGATTGGGACGAGGAACAGAGGTAACAAGCACGCTACGCAAACCTAAAAATTGAACAAAAATTAATCAAGCAGAAAGGAACAGCTAAATTAATCGAAATCAAATAAGAAGGAGGAGGATTATAACTTTACCATCTTTTCTTCTTCTTCTTCTTCTTCTTCTTCTCGGTATCTGTTTGGTACGCGAGATAGCAGGGAGAGGATCCGTCTGCAATTGAGTTTGACGCTCTTTAAAATTCTGATGATTTTTCTCTTTTATTATAGATCCGTCAATCACGTTAAACGACTGCTTTCATAGCGTTTCATATTTGTTGACACTTTTATCATTTTCTTCCTTCTTGGACAATTTCTTTGATGTCATGTAATTTAAGAGTATCTTTTTTGTAGGAAAAAAACATTATAATGAAAATGGCTACAAATTTACAATTTTTCTATTGCACAATATACACAATTGAAAGTTAAAAAGAAAAAAAAAAGAATCGGGACCTAGTTTAAAAAAATTTAATTGAAGGATGTAATTAAAAAAATAAAAAATAATTACAAAACAGAGAAGAATTAAAAGATAATTTTTAATTCCTTATTCAATCCCTTATTCAAACCCTTATTCAAACCCCAACACACGCCTTCTTGAGATGAAGAAGAAAGTCATGAGGAGTTCAATGACATAATGGACAAAAATGACCATTGCATGAAGGCCCATGCTTGCGACTTCTCTTACGTGCTCGACAATTCTTTTTTGGAGTATTTTTTATTATTATAGAAGATCAATTTACCCTTCAACTAATATGGTTGTAACAAAAGAAGTCACTTGAAATTACCAAAAAAGCCCCCAAAGCTAGCCTTGATTAATTCTAAGACAAAGGGTAATTTTGTATTTTTATTGTGCTAAGAAAAAGGAAAATACAACAATGCCCCCATAGCAAGTCCAAACTAACTTTGTAGTGAAAGTATTTCAGTGTTGAAAAAAAAATGAATATACTTTTATACCCCACTCGACAAAGGAAGAATGACAAATGAATCTTGTAAAAAGATTATTCTATTCTTGAATTTTGTTTTAATAACTAATTTGATTGAGGAAAAAAATATCAATTCACTATTATAATTCAAATAAACTCATTTTAGTATTACAATGAATTTTCCACGTCCTATATATATTTGGTAAATTTATATACTCTAGTGTATCCAATAAGGTATATAATATTCCAATATTATATTGAAAATTGATATTATAAAATAAAATGTTATGATATAATTAAAAAAAAAGCAACAAGGATTAAAATTAACATAAAAAACATAATTGATTTCACTTATATTATTCATGGGGCGCAAAAAACTTAAACTTGGTCTCCAAAGTTTTTATTTTCTTATATTTGACACGTATGTTTATATACTTTAACATGTTAAAAACAATTTGGGGAGAAAAGAATAGACAGTATTAAATTTTAGGGAAAATTGCACTATTCCTTTTATAATTTAGTTATTTTCTCATCTTGTTTTTATTCTCTTAAAAGTTATGATTTATATCCTAATCAAAATAATTTTTAACACTTTACACCACCATCCAAAAAATAAAATAAAATAATAGTTTGAATTTTTTATATAATTATTATATTTCAATTAATAATTAAAGAGTAATTAAGTATTAAAATCATCAAATTATCAACTTTTCTCTCCTACCTTAGCTGCCACCTCTTCTTCTTTTCTACTTCTCTGCTACCAACCACCTCTGTCCAAATGTTTTTCACAGAACCATCTCGTAGTGGATAAAACTGCCAAGCAAATCGCAAGAATTTGAGGCCGAAAAGTAAGAAGAAAGACATCTCATTGATCATAGTTTTAAAGTTCGAGTAACTATTGTGAATCTTAAAGGGTTTAAGATCGGTGATTTACCAGCAAATCATATGATCTGTTTAGCATTGGCATTAGATGATGGGCTTGTGTTAGGTGGCAGGTCTAATCAAGAATTTTTTTAATATAAAAAAAAATATTTACACTTTATTAATTAATTTTTTTATTAAAAAATTAAATTGTTTAATGGTTAATTCAATTAATTTGATGGGTTATAAATCAAATAATTAATAAAAATATATTTTAACAAATAAAATTTAACATAACATTATTTTTTTAATATTAAGATAACAATATATTAGATTCATTCAAATCCATTCAAGTTAACTTATCAAATTTATAATCTGAATCATGATATTATAATAAGCTCATAAATAATAAATTATAAAATTTAATTTTAAGTTATTTCAATGTTTGAAAATAAAATTAAAAAACAAATCAATTTAAAAAAATTCAAAAAAACAAATTGAATCGTCTTCGGTTAATTTATCAAAATCACAAGTTGAACCATAAAACCAAGATAAATTTATATAAAACAAATCAAAATAAATTATATAATTTAATTTTTAATTAATTCAATGTTAAATAATTAAAAAAAAATTAAAAAAATCTTTGAACCAACTCAAATTAATTTACTAAATTCACAATTCCAATCATAAAACCAAATTACAATTCCAATCATAAAACCAACCAAGATAACCCATAAACATAAATTATAAAGTTCAATCCCAGCAGATCCAAAATTGAAAAATAAAATTAAAATTTAAAAATAAAACATTATTTTTTTCAATTTTTTGTTAATATTTTAATTTAATTACAATTACAATTACAGTAAATTTTAAATGATTTTAAGCAAATGAAAAAAAATAGTATGAAAGTTCCTTTTCATTGGTTGTATACAATTAACATGTCATTCTGAATCCAAATAATAGCCGTCCCTTCAATATTTTATTTTCATCAAGAAAAGTACCATATCGGAAGACAGAAGAAAGGAGTTAAATGTACTCGAGTAAAAATTTAATAAAATAAACTCTTCTTCTTCTTTTTTTTTTGTCATATGACACGAGATGATGATGCCATCAACTGCACCACATCAGAGAAAAATTTAAACGTGAATAACTCAAATAGGAAGTAGGGTACTCAAATCAAATCGAAAATTAATCAAAAGTAGGATACCAAATTTGCAGTTTGCCCATCATCAAGTTCAAATTTAACGTTGAAATGTAATCGGTGAACATAGCAAGTTTATGATAATACAGTTATATTCTGCCTTCTCCACAACAAGGATATGGTGCCATCAGAAATCTAAGCACTTTCATCCTTGCAGGGAATGCCAGTGCAGCGACAAACAGGTCTACCAGCAGCTTCCCAGCCATTGAAGCCACGTTCCAATACCATAATGTTTTTTATTCCTCCATCTTCTTTCACCTCCTCGAGGTAATTGGCAAGCCTTCGTGCACAAGTCGGGCCACGAACCTGAGCAAAAACCCATCATTTATTCTTTCAAGCATGTCAATAGTCTCAGCTGCTTATAACGGGGAAAAAAAACACAAAAATAAGGGTGCACAAGACCAGGAGCTCTCCTGTACAGTTCCAAAATCTGTCAAATGACAGGAACTAATGCCTTATGCTGCATGTTAAACTGATTATTAAACTTCACCAAACAATGAGGTGAGATACATGCTTCAAAAACAAGCTCAATTCTTTTAGGGAAACGATTGTGCTTTACAGCAGTTAAATGACCTCCGATAATAGCAAATAAACGACATGAAAACCCAACCAAATTCTCTTCTTTCAAGAGCATGCCTTTTATAGATAAGGTCTTTCCGGTCATCCCATGCTATCACATAAACTTGCATTAGAGGATGGGACCTTGATAGGTTCCCTTGGTAGACTCGATGAACAATATCAATGCACTAACATGACATGGCTGACAAGAAATTGTTGAAAAATTATGTTTTTTATTATATCGATAAGAAAAAAAATGTTCTACAAGGTTTCAAATTGTAACAAAATACAGGAGAACAACACATGAGACACTACTCAAACTACATAGTCAGAAAAGCCTTTAATGCAAAGATCTAAGCTTTAATATGAACCCACATTTATAACAAAAATAATGAAACTGTAACAAGTCTGGGTTAGTTAGACAGAAAACAAGCATACGGTTGCAGACAAGGAAGTGAATTTTCAGGAAGATGTTTGAAGGTAGGTCTAGGAATGATAATGAAGTAGACACGTGAATGGTGGAAGATAAGCCAGCAAAATGAAATCCAAACAGCAGCGTTTCTCTTGGCAATGGAATTAGTTAAACAGCAGCGCTTCAACAGCTGGAGTCAAAGCTATCAATTAGCTCAGATCTTTTCAAACTTTCAGTCAAGTCTATTTAAAATTCATATTTCATTTTGACTGCTATTTAAGGTTCCAAGATAGGAGAATACGATAGGGCAAAGCATATTCAGACTTTCAATTAGGTCATTGAAGCTCCGGGTTACCTCAAATCTACCCAAAACATTTCTAGTCCTTTTCATTTCGGTCCATGTGAGTCAATTTCTTTCAATTCAATAGAATTCCAAATTCTTATTATCTTCCATTTCATCCTTTCAGTTCCAATTAATTCCATTATCATTCAAGTCCAGAGAATTGCTACAGAAACCGGTTAAAGCTCAAGCATGGATCCACTTTTTTCCACAAAGGAGAAGCACTGCCAAGAAATAATCCATTTTCTCACAAAGAAACCCTGCCAACTTCCAAGCATAATGACACCTTCAAACACATGTTTCTAGGGTAGATGGTGGATATACAGGTTGTTATTGCCTTGTATTCCAAGTCCTTTACCCCTACTAATATACTGCCTTCCACTTGGCTACATGATTTATTTTAATTTTTTTGAGAACCTCTTCCCATTTCTCTCCCTTTTGCATCTTGTTTAAGAATAACTCAATGCCTGTCTTATTAACCCAAGGAGCATGTATATTTTTAAAACCTCCTTCAGTTGATTCCAGATGCTTCTTAAGAAACCATCTTGGAAAGTTAGTTGACAAATGATTATCTTTGAACCATTAATAACATTAACAGCAATTCCTGTTGTCCTCACTCAAACTCATAGACAAATTACCTGGCAAGCACGCAGAGCTGATCTCATCTATATATCCATAACAAACATTCATGATCACTGGAAAATGTTCAGGGTATTGATTGACCAGGACTAAAATGAAGAATAACTTGTAAATATTTCGAGATAATTCTAGAACACAAATTGTTTACTTGTGGGTAAATTTCACAACAAAATAAAAAATGACTAGTTAATTAACAAAAAATATTTGATCGCCATGTTCAAGCCTAGAAACTTGGAACTTTGTTACAGCTAAAGGGTTTATACAAAACTCACTCGCCAA